CGATGGCATCAGATTCACATACAAATACACACGATGGCATCAGATTCTGCTCCAATCTACATTTGGCTCCTGTCGGACCGTACAGGCAGAAGAGAGGGGGGTCAGAGGGGAGGTCAGCGTTTGTGGGTTGGAGGAGAAGGACGACGCTACAGCTGTAAACATGTATCGCCAATAAAAAGTCCGCGTTTTTTGTAATTAGGTTTATTCAGTCTGAGCCAAATACAGTAAGTGAAAGAAATCGGGATGAGAACTAGCAAGAGGTGGTGAACGTGAATGAAACAGTGCTGCGTAACTAAAAGCAGAGCTGGAAGAGAGGGCGGATGTTCTCATGGAAATAGAAGTGAGGCAATGCTCCATTAGGTGACTCAGAGATGGAAAGGATATCCAACGCACAGCCGAGAGTTTCAGAAATACATACTGCACTTGAAGTGTTTCGCTGTACCAACAAATGCATAAACTGTATTTTTAGAATGACTAGACTCAGCTTCATGAACCTAAACTGAGAAGAACACTATCACCTCTGCAGATCTCCTTTTTCACACAAGATACATGGATGTAAAAGTCGTATAAAGATGTGTTGCCACTGATTGCTGTCCAGACATTGTTAGTGTTGCACCCACCCTCTGGTTCCCCCTCAGGTAATCACTGTGAGCACTTTTGCTGTCGTTTGCACTGTTAGCGCTGTTAGCAGCTAGCCGCCGGCTCAGCTGTCCCCATTCTGAGAGCCATTTAGAGGCAATGGAAACTCTACCAAACTCGCATTTAGCACCTTTTGAATGCCAGAGAGCTGTTTTGTTACTCTACTACCACTTGAGGAGGGGGTGGGAATCCTAGATTAATCCATGACGCATTAATACTAGAATGATTTCTTGCCCAAGAGCATGGCTGTATTACAATACAGGCACTTTTAAATGATGTTGTATTGCATGAGATTATTACCTTCATTACATTAAGATCTTTGGGTATTTGATCAGTAAAACCTACAATATCACCTCCAGTTATCCATAAAGCAGGACTCATTCATACGCTGTGTGTGTATTCATTGCAGTGAGTGGTGCTTTCAGGTCACTCTAGAGCTCTTTGATAAAGCAGTATGTGACAAACTGCATCGAGTTTTTGCCTCTTCAACTCTCTCTCACACACACACACTGGTACACATGTCATCATTCATTTGTCAAGCTGGCAAAAGGCTAAACTGTCAGTGAGCTGTTCCACACTTGAAGTGCTGCAGCAAACGACAGATAGACATCTGACTCAGACTCACAGGAAAGTGCATCCCAGTGTTGGTGCGATGTTTCAGTCACGCTCACGGCACCCTAACCTAAACGAGCCGCCCGTGGTGCAGCAACGGGAGACGTCGTGGGTTCATCGGGACTGACTCACGTGGGTCAGAAAACAGCGGTGCGTTGAAACCTTGTAGCATGTTGCACAATACGGCCACTCGGTGATGTGAGGGAGCGATGTGTTGTCACGAGCAGCTGATGGGGACGGAAAACACCTGCTGTTACATCACTTGTTGGTGTGTTTCCAAAAGCACAGCATGCTGGACTGTTTCAGCCCATGAGGTAGCAGCGCAGCAGTGGTTTATTTCTTTCTCCTCCCCAGCTCTATTTGAGAGCATGTGCTTTAGATTACTGAGATAACCTGGTTAAAGTAATTGCGCCATCATGCTGTATATGCTCTGGCATGTAGTCATCGAGGGCAGATGCACCGAGAAGGGGCTGCATGTTTGTAGCCGAAACAGTGATTCTGACTGCTTTCTTTGTAATGATTTTAGGAACAAACTTTGTGTGTCTTTTTTTTTCAGCACTCTGTCAACCGGTATTCCAAAGTAAATGAAATGTGTCATTGTTAAACAACACAGTAACGCGTATTAGGTTTAGAAACTTCAGTTTGGATTCATGTTTGGACGTTAATAAATTGTTGCTCCTCTCAAACAAGACGAAACTTTCACAGGTTCAGTGCTCGTCTGTCGGACAGTTGTTGTTTTGGAACCACGTCAATGTTATTCTGGCTCCGACCCGCCGGTCCGTCTGCATCCCAACTCATGTGATCGAGAAAAGGAAGCCGTGACCAATCACCCGTCCCGGTGCGAGGAGCTTTGGGGGGGGGGGGACGTCGGTGAACGCTGCTCGTGTCTGCCGACACACTCTGGGAAGGTTTCATCCTCCTGTGAGCTCTGGAGCTCGGTGCTCGATCAGCACAATGTGGCTGGAGGCATCCAGAGAACCAGCAGACTCGCAGCATGAGCTAGAGACTCGACAAAGAGACAAGATGAACCGGGAATTGGAGTATATGTTTGTCAAAGTAAGTTTCTGCTTATTTTGAGCTTTCAATACTCATCCCTCATTAAGTAGAGGTATAGCCAAACTAAAGTTAAACTGTGACGGGAGATGGACTTTAAGTCAAATCAAACTGTCTGGTCGGTTGAAGGAGAAGCGTCCTTTTCTTTTTAGCATGTGGTCATTTGATAAGTAATCTGGGCTTTATTACCTCTTTAATGTACAACGTGGATCTCCTGACACACCCTTGTTCTGCAGAGGGGAAAAAAGTTATGTCACTGAAATTGTCCGGACAGTAATAACTCCACAGCATAGCAGCAGCTCAGATTTTTAGCCTGAGCTGCGTTTCTGAATAACGACATGCTCTTTGTTTCGGATCAAAATCACTGGATGTAGTTTGTCCTAACTTTTAAAGATGGCATATCTGCATATCTGGCCTTACAGCCCGGGACACAACCTAGCTGACTAGATGGAGAAGCAATATGTTCTCCTGCTGAATGATAACCAAGCAGCACGTTAGTGTCCCATAGATCTACAGGCCATGTAGATAATTAGCCTGCTTGCTGTAGCATGTTGTACGTAGCAGCAATATTCTCTCTGAAGCACGGGTTAGCTTAGCATGGCTTATTCTTCATTTTATTATCTGTGCATCTTT